CTGCAATTAGGGGTGAGGCTCTAATGATACATTGAGAATGGATAAATTCTTTTACAATCTTCTTTCTCCTTCTATATTTAGTTAGCAAAAAATGGTACATGGTTATGATGAGCAAGGGTACATCTTCCAAAACTGTGAAATTTGTAGCCCAAAGGTCCGGGATTTTGGAGTTAGGAAGTGGGGGCTCTAATGATCATAATGAGTGAGAATGCATCAATTCTTTTGCAATAGTCTTCTCCCCCTCTATATTTACAAAATAAACTAGGTGTCTGGTTATTATGCGCGAGGATGTCTCTCCCAAAATTGTGAAAATTGTGGCCCCAGGGTCAGGCGTTCCGGATTTAGCGTGGACCTCTTATGATCATATAGTGAAAATGCATAAATTCTTTAAAAATCTTCTCTCCCTCTCCATATTTAATAGATAAATTGGTGCATAGTTATACTGAGCAAAGATACCTCTTCCAAAATTGTGAAATCTGTTGCCCCAGGGTGAGGGGTACAAGAGGTTGGGCAGGCCTCTAATGATCATATAGTGAGAATGCATAAAGTCTTTAAAAATCTTCTCTCCCCGCCCAACAGTATATTTAGTTATATAGTGAAAATTCATAAATTCTTTTACGATTGTCTTCTCTCTATATATATATTTAAAAGATAAATTAGGTGCCTGTTTATGATAAGCAAGGGTGCATCTTCCAAAATTTTGAAATTTGTGGCCCCATGATCAGGGGTTCTTGTGTACAGGGCTCTTATGATCATATAGTGAAAATGCATCAATACTTTTAAAATCTTCTTGTCTCCCCCTGTATGTTTAGAAGATAAACTAGGTGTGTGATAATGATGAACAAGGGTGGCTCTTCCAAAATTGTGAAATTTTTGGCTCCAGTGTTAGGGGTTATGGTGTACAGGGCGCTAATAATCATTAAGAATGTGTAAATTCTATAAAAATCTTTTTCTTAACACATATTTAGCAAATAAACTTGGTGCATGGTTATGATAAGCAAAGAAGCCTTTGTCAAAATTGTGATAAACAGGGGTTCTTAAATTAGGGCGGGGCTCTAATGATCATATAGTGAGAAAACCTAAATTCTTTAAAAATCTACTTCTCTTCCCCTGTATATTAACAAAATTAACTAACTACATTTTTATGAGAAGCAAGCTTAAGAGTGTCTCGTTCAAAATTTTGAGATTTGTGGCCCCAGAGTCAGGCATTTTGGCGTTACAGCAGGGTTCTAATGATCATTCTGTTAGAGCGTATTATTTATTTTACAATCGTCTTCTCTCTCACACTATATTTAGAAGATAAACTAGGTGCCTGGTTATGATAAGCAAGGGTGTCTCTTCCAAAATTGTGACATCTGTGGCCCCAGGATTGAGGGATTCTTCTTCCATCCCTGTAAATTTAGGAGATCAACTAGGTGCCTGGTTATGATGAGCAATTACCCGCTCCGAAATTGTGAAATTTGTGGCCCCAAGGTCAGGGTTTCTAGAGTTAAGACAGGGGCTCTAATGATCATATAGTGAAAAAACGTAAATTCTTTAAAAATCTTCTTCTCTCCCCATGTATATTTAAAGGAAAACTAAGTGCCTGGTTGTAATGGGCAAGGGTGGCTCGTCAAAATTGTGAAATATGTGGCCCCAAGTCGGGGGATGCTGGAGTTAGGCGGGGCTCTAATGATCATATAGTGAAAAGGCATACATTTTTTACAATCGTCTTCTATCTCCCTCTATATTTAGAAGATAAACTTCGTGCATAATTATGATGAGCAGGAGTGCCTCTTCCAAAATTATGAAATTTGTGGCCCCAAGGCGGGGTTTTCTGGAGTTAGGGCTGGACTCTAAAGATTATACAATGAAAATTCTTTTACAATCTTCTTCTCTCCCCTTGTATATTTAAAAGATAAGTAGGTGCCTGGCTTAATGAGCAAGGTGGTACCTCTTTCAAAATTCTGAAATTTATGTCCCTAGGGTCAGGGGTTCTGCGTTAGGACGGGGCTCTAATAAACATATAGTGAGAATGCATGATTTTTTTTACAGTCGTTTTCTCTCTCCCTCTACATTTAGAAGATAAACAAGGTGCATGGTTATGATAAGCGAAGGTACCTCTTCCAAAATTATGAAATTAGTGGCCCAAGGGTCAGGGGTTCTGGAGTTATGGCGGGGCTCTAATGAACATATAGTGAGAATGCTAGAAATTCTTTAAAAAATCTTCTCTCCCCCTTATATTAAGAAAATTAACAAGATGCATTTTTATGATGAGCAAGGGTGCCCCTTCCAAAATTGTGGAATTTGTGGTCCAGGGTCAGGGGTTCTGGAGCTAGGGCAGGTCTTAATGATCATATAGTGAAAATGCATAAATTCTTTAAAAATTTTCTTTTCTCCCCCTGTATATTAAGAAACTTAACTAGGTACATTTTTATAATGAGCAGGCTAAAGGTGCCTCGTCTAAAATTTTGAAATTTGTGGCCCCAGGGTCTAGTGTTCTGGTGTTAGGGCAGGGCTCCAACTGTCATAGAGTGAGTATGCATAAATGCTTTTAAAATCTTCTTCTCTCACCCTGTATATTAAGCAGATAAAATACGTGCCTGGTTATGACGATTAATGGTGCCTCTTCCAAAATTGTGAAATTTGTGGCTCCAGGATCAAGGGTTTTGAATTAAGGTCGGGTCTGTAATGATCATATAGTGAGAATCCATAAATTCTTTAAAAATCTTCTTCTCCCTCCCTCTACCTCCCTGTATAATTGGAAGATAAACTAGGTGCCTTGTTATAACGAACAAGGATACCTATTCTAGATTTGTGAAATTGGTGGCTCGACGGTCGGGGTTTCTTTCATTAGAACAGGGTTCTAATGTTCATGCAGTGGGAATACATAAATTCTTTAAAAATCTTCTTCTCTACCCATATATATTTCAAAAATAACTAGGTGCCTGGTTATAATGGGCAAGGGTGCCGCTATCAAAATTGTGAAATATGTTTTGTCAAGTTAAGGGGTTCTGGTGTTAAGGAAAGACTCTAATGATCATATAATGAGAATGTATGAATTCTTCAAAAATCTTCGTCTCTCCCCCTGTATATTAAGAAATTAAACTAGGTACATTTTTATGATGAGCATGGTGCTTCTTCCAAAATTGTGAAATTTGTGGCCCAAGGGTAAGGGGTTCTAGTGTTAGGAAGGGACTCTAAGGATCATATAGTGAGTATGCATAAATTCTTTATAAATCTTCTCCTCTCCCCCATGTTTATTTAAAGGATAACTACGTGTCAGGTAATATTGGGCAAGGGTATCTCTTCCAAACATGTGAAATTTGTTGCCCCAGGGTCAGGGCTTCTGGTGTTAGGGCGGGGCTCTAATGATCGTATTGTGAGAACGCGTATATTCTTTGAAATTCATTTTCTCTCCCTTTGTATATTAAGAAAATTAACTTGGTGCATGGTTATGATGAGCAAGGGTGCCTCTTCCAAAATTGTGAAGTTTGTAGCCCCAGGATCGCGGTTTTGGAGTTAGTGAAGGGTTCTAATGATCATATAGTGAAAATGCATAAACACTTTTAAAATCTTCTTCTCTCCCCCTGTATATTTAGAAGAAAAACTAGGTGTCTGATAATGATGAACAAGGATGCCTTTTCCAAAATTGTGAAATTTGTGGCCTCAGGGTCGGGGATTCTGTAGGTAGGGTAGGGCTCTAATGATCTTATATAATTGAAACTGCATAATTCTTTGAAAATCTCCTTCCTGCTCCAGGGCATTAAGCAAACAATCAAACTAATTGCATAGTTATGATTAGCAAATGTGCCTTTTCCAAAATTGAGAGAACAAGAGAGACCGTTCCATTGTGAGAGGGAATGCAATTCGTATTCTAATAGTGGTGAAGTACTTTTGTTTTGTTTAGTTTTAGTCAAATGGGGGCAGATACAGACAAGTAAATAGATCCGTTTTAACATTTATTACCGAGTAAAAGACTAATTATTTTGTTGATCATCTGAATTATCTTGGTTTTGGGCAACATAGCTTCTATCATCTATCAGTTTATTTTTGTTTCATTTTATAATTCTGTGGATCCTTTACAATGTTTTATTACATGTATACTCAGGTGACCGTTAAGGTCCTTGGGCCTCTTGTTCCTAAACGCTTGTAAATACAATGTATTAAGCTGATTTTGGTATTTGCGTCTACCTTGATGAGTTACAGTTTAAGTTTGCATTTTGTTTTGCTTCAATGATTTTTGACGGAATTACTGTATTTTCAATTTTTAATGGGAACCAGGTTACACTTGCCGATAGGGGACTAGTATTGCTAATGCAATACTCTCAGAAGACTTGTTCACATTAATCTCACTGTCATGTTTATAATATTTTTAGTCCCCTACTGGTGAAACCGGAGGGGACTTAAGGTTTCCTCCTCGTCTGTCTGTCTGTCTGTTCGACGTACGTCCGTCCGTCTGTCTCTCTGTCTGTCAGTCTGTCTTACTTGGTTTTCCGCATTTTTTCTAAACAGTTGCAGATATTGAGCTGATTTTTAGCATGTGAGTGTATCTTGATGAGTTACAGACCAAATTAGCAATTCGTTTCGCTTCAATGGTTCTTGACGGAATTACGACATTTTTAATATTTAAAAGGGTTTTGCGCATTTTTTTTCTAAATGCTTGCAGATATTGAGCTGATTTTTGGTATGTGAGTAATCTTGATGAGTTAAAGGTCACGTTTACATTTTATTCCGTTCAGTGATTTTTTGACGCAATTATGGCATTTTCAATTTTTAATGGGAACCAGATTTCACTTGCGGGTGGGGAACTAGTATTGCAGATGCAATACTCTTAGAATGCTTGTTTTAAAAAGCCGAAATCAACAATTTAAACTATTTGAAGCGAAAAAAAGTCATTTTAACTCTTTTTTTTTACTGAGAAAAAAGGCAAGTTTTATTTCTCTTCAGTATTTTTATTATGTAACATACTGGATATTAGAAATATACTTCATAAAATCTTGACATTACAATACTTTCAGCTGCGTACCTCTCTAAGGCAGAAAAGAAACAACGGGGTATTTCAAAGAGCTGGTCTTTCGTTACATTTATTTCATATCAGGTAACAATTACGTATCTCTATCATTTCCATGTCTAATTTTCCACCGCAAACTTTAAAATTTTGGTAGGTGAAAAAAAAGAACTATTATGCTAACTTCATGTATCTTATTCTTACTTTAGATGGTGTTAAATCTATTTCAAAGTGAACGAAAACGTAGAAAACCTTACGACTACATTGGTAAGTACAGGGTTTTGTTAAACTTAATTTAATTACGTACATTATATATTTCTAATAAGGAACAACAAGCTCAAAAGGATGATAAACTCTAATTAGCAATTTGACTTTTTAATTATCTAATCTGTACAAAAAGTAACATTGTTCCTGTTTCAGATTTGATAGTGATTGGAATCTTCATCTTGATACCTTCTGAGGTAATTTAAAATGTTTTTCTTCAACCAAAAATGCACCGTTATATCTTTTAAAAATGGTGTCTCTATATATCTGTACCTAAATATGTATAACAATCCCAATGTTTTACTGAGTGGTAAGAAAATATCAACTTTTGACCGCTAAGTGAGATACCGGACCTGTCGATGAGATATTCGACCGCTTACGTCACACTGTGGGCGGGAACAGCTAAATCTTGTATGCATTCATTGGTTTTCGACAGTGAAAGAAATGACGGAGTGAAACCACAGTGCGTGTAATGGAAATTTACACCATGGAAGCCTGCACAATATACACGTATTTCAATGATAATAATAATAGTAAATATAATAATAATATAAGGCATAACAAAACATTTTTGACTATGTTCTCGGGCAAAATGCGTTTTGTCGACCCCTCTAACAAAACTGTTTGCATTAGACTTAACGGCCTCAGGCAAACAGTTTGGTTTCTGGTCCGACAAAATGCATGTTGTCCTAGAACCCAGGCAATAAATGTATAAGGTCTCTTTAAATTCATGATATTAATCTTTTTTGTATACTCGCATCAAATGTTGATCAAACATATATATTTTGAGTAGTTAAAAATCGTATAGTATACTGGCACACAAAATTTAAAGTACTATATGTAGAATATGAAGTAATACATCATTTAGTAACGGTGTCATTAATGTAAAAAAAATATCTGAATTAAAAGGACGTAGAACCATTTACAGTTTAACGGGCATATGAGCGGGAAAAGTTGATTCGTTAATGCGATGTATTGTTAATAATACATGTACTTTCTAGTACTACAGGTTATAAAATCACTTCACAAACAGCATAAATTCATTATTTGTGGTTCGCTGTCATCGTGTTTTATTGTATAATACAAACATCTATTTTAAATTTAGTATATATATTTATAAGCTTATTGGCTTACAAGTTACACACACATATATATATATATATATATATATATATATATATATATATATATATATATATATATATATATATATATATATATATATATATATATATATATATATATATATATATATATATATATATATGCAGTGATACATGTATGTAACTTGTAAGCCAATAAGCACATTCCAAAGGCGAATCCAGAACTTCAAGATGGGGGTTGGGCATTTAAAAATATTAACTGACATCAGAAACCCAATATTCTTGTAGGTAAATTGATTATTAGTGTTTTATAATGTTTAATATTTAAGTTTCGTCAGATACAGAAGATTTTTTTTTTTTTTGAATATCAATAACTACTGTATTTTAAAATACTCCCAAGCTTCCTCCCTTCCTTTTTTTCAAAACTTTAGGGTGAGGGGTGTGTACGTGTAGCCCCTCCCTCATAAATCTGCGCTGTCTTTAAAACTGCCTATATGTATCAGTGTATTAATTTTAAACCTTTTTATTATTGGGGACTTTTTAAATACTGCTGACATATAGACAAAACATTTAATCATAAGTTCTAGGATCTGCTTGACTTTCTTTTAATATTTTTCTTGACTCTCTTCAATTGATTTTATATAAATGTCGTGTAAAGATTTTTTTAAAAATTAAAATCCATTTTTATGTGAGCGTATTTGTTGGTTGAATCGTGCAATCTATCCTTGTTTTGGTAAAGGACGAATGACGTCAAGAATGGATTTTCTTAGATGTGATTCTATTGACAACGGTTAATGAAATAAAAATATACAAGAGAAAGAGTATGTTCCACTTGCATTTTTTTTTATCTTTCAATGTACCTAAACAGCTTCCAAAATCGACACCAAATTCAAATGGAAGGTAAATGTAACAGCAAAATTAAGTCAGTTTTTAGTTCATTTGAGCCAAAGGCTCAAGTGAGCTTTTCTGATCAAAATTTGTCCGTTGTCTGTCGTCGTCGTCGTTGGTGTTGTCGTCGTTGTCGTCGTCGTTGGCGTAAACTTTTCACAATTTCAACTTCTTCTCCAGAACTACTGGGCCAATTTCAACCAAACTTGGCACAGAGTATCCTTGGGTGAAGGGGATTCAAGTTTGTTCAAATAAAGGGCCACGCCCTCTTTCAAGGGGAGATAATAAAGAATTAGTGAAAAATTAATAGCACCTTCGCAGCTAGGTTAAGGACTCCCATATATACGTCAGCCTATGCAGAGGTTCGGTAAAGGTATTATGACGTCACGTTAAAACAATACAAATGAATCTCGATGAATAAATACTATATGTTCTTTTTAAAACACACTAAATACTTTCGTTTATCATAAATATTATAAAGATAAATGGATGTGCAGCTTATCTTGCCATAATAGCACTTAGCGTAGGTAGAATGAAAGCCAGCTTGATCTCGCTGTACTTATTTAGATGACGTCATTTCTTAGTTTGACACGCAGTTTCTCTGTACTTGAGGCGTGGATCAAGCTTTTATCGTAGCTTTTAAAAATAAAAATAAATACGAAACACGCGTATTCGGACCAAAAGAGAGACATATTCTGAAATATATTAATCCACATTTCATCTTTAAATTAAATTGATAATGTGTAGACTTTATATAAAGTCACAGGGAGCAAATTTGTGCAGTAACGTGCTACAATGACAGGTCCAGCCCCTCGAAAATATCAAAAGTTCAACGATATCCGCTTCACTATAAATTCTGATTTTTTAAACACTTGTAGCTATTATTCCTACTATTCTGAAAAGTGCTGGGAGCTGGTTGTGCATTGTTGATTTATTCCGTAATGTACCATTATTCCAATGCGAATTACATTTTTGACTGGAGTTTATAGAAAGACGGCTAAATTTTAAACGATTCCTGAGCATGAGGAAGTTGCTCCCAGCACTTTTCGTGTTAAGGAATTTGTCTTAAAGAAAACAGAATAAATTTTATAGCCGAAAAATGACCGTATATTGTTGAACTTTTACGATCTTTAAAGTAGTACATATATGTTCTAATTTTAAAACTGTCACGTGACAAACAGCTGATGTAAGCGATGTCACTTTGACCGCACTCAGCAGAGACCCGATATATACAAGTGCAAACACCACAAATCACATTTATCAAAACTAATGCTGTTTAAAAAAATATTAAAATTGTATTCATTTTCCCTGAATATATTACGGCGTATATTTCATGGGCGTCCTTAACCTAGCTGCGTTTTAAAAATCTTCTTCTCAAGAACCACAAAGCCAGGGAAATTGAAACTCATGTGGAAGCATCCTTAGGCAGTGTAGATTCAAATTTGTTCAAATCATGACCCCGGGGGGTAGGGCGGGGCAACAATGGAGGATCAAATTTTTACATAGAAATATATAGGAAAAAACTTTAAATATCTTCTTCTCAAGAACAGGAAAGCCCTAATTAATCATATTTATACGGAAGCATCCTCAGGTAGTGGAGATTCAAGTTTGTTCAAATCATGACCCCGGGGGGTAGGGTGGGGCCACAATGGAGGATCAAAGTTTAACATAGAAATATATATATAGAAATATATAGGAAAAACCTTCAAAAATCTTCTTTTCAACAACAACAAAGCCATGATAAGTCATATTTATATGGAAGCATCCTCAGGTAGTGTAGATTCAAGTTTGTTCAAATCATGACCCCCGGGGGTAGGACGGGGCCACAATGGAGGATCAATGTTTAACATAAAAATATATAGGAAAAACTTTTAAAAATCTTCTTCTCAGGAACAGCAAAGCCCTAATTGGTCATATTTATATGGAAGCATCCTCAGGTAGTGTAGATTCAAGTTTGTTCAAATCATGACCCTCGGGGTAGGGCGGGGCCACAATGGAGGATCTAAGTTTAACATAGAAATACATAGGAAAAACCTTTAAAAATCTTCTTCTCAAAAACAGGAAAGCCATGATGAGTTATATTTGTGTGGAAGCATCCTCAGGTGGTGTAGATTCAAGTCTGTTCAAATCATGACCCCGGGGGATAGGGCGGGTCCACAATGGAGGATCAAAGTTTTACATAGAAATATATAGGAAAAATCTTCAAAAATCTTCTTCTCAGGTACAGCAAAGCCCTGATTGATCATATTTATGTGGAAGTATCCTCAGGTAGTTTAGATTTAAAATTGTTCAAATCATGACCCCCTGGGGTAGGGCGGGGCAACAATGGAGGATCAAATTTTTACATAGAAATATATAGGAAAAAACTTTAAATATCTTCTTCTCAAGAACAGGAAAGCCCTAATTAATCATATTTATACGGAAGCATCCTCAGGTAGTGGAGATTCAAGTTTGTTCAAATCATGACCCCGGGGGGTAGGGTGGGGCCACAATGGAGGATCAAAGTTTAACAAAGAAATATATAGGGAAAACCTTCAAAAATCTTCTTTTCAACAACAACAAAGCCATGATAAGTCATATTTATATGGAAGCATCCTCAGGTAGTGTAGATTCAAGTTTGTTCAAATCATGACCCCCGGGGGTAGGACGGGGCCACAATGGAGGATCAATGTTTAACATAAAAATATATAGGAAAAACTTTTAAAAATCTTCTTCTCAGGAACAGCAAAGCCCTAATTGGTCATATTTATATGGAAGCATCCTCAGGTAGTGTAGATTCAAGTTTGTTCAAATCATGACCCTCGGGGTAGGGCGGGGCCACAATGGAGGATCTAAGTTTAACATAGAAATACATAGGAAAAACCTTTAAAAATCTTCTTCTCAAAAACAGGAAAGCCATGATGAGTTATATTTGTGTGGAAGCATCCTCAGGTGGTGTAGATTCAAGTCTGTTCAAATCATGACCCCGGGGGATAGGGCGGGTCCACAATGGAGGATCAAAGTTTTACATAGAAATATATAGGAAAAATCTTCAAAAATCTTCTTCTCAGGAACAGCAAAGCCCTGATTGATCATATTTATGTGGAAGTATCCTCAGGTAGTTTAGATTTAAAATTGTTCAAATCATGACCCCCTGGGGTAGGGCGGGGCAACAATGGAGGATCAAATTTTTACATAGAAATATATAGGAAAAACCTTTAAATATCTTCTTCTCAAGAACAGGAAAGCCCTAATTAATCATATTTATACGGAAGCATCCTCAGGTAGTGGAGATTCAAGTTTGTTCAAATCATGACCCCGGGGGGTAGGGTGGGGCCACAATGGAGGATCAAAGTTTAACATAGAAATATATAGGGAAAACCTTCAAAAATCTTCTTTTCAACAACAACAAAGCCTTGATAAGTCATATTTATATGGAAGCATCCTCAGGTAGTGTAGATTCAAGTTTGTTCAAATCATGACCCCCGGGGGTAGGACGGGGCCACAATGGAGGATCAATGTTTAACATAAAAATATATAGGAAAAACTTTTAAAAATCTTCTTCTCAGGAACAGCAAAGCCCTAATTGGTCATATTTATATGGAAGCATCCTCAGGTAGTGTAGATTCAAGTTTGTTCAAATCATGACCCTCGGGGTAGGGCGGGGCCACAATGGAGGATCTAAGTTTAACATAGAAATACATAGGAAAAACCTTTAAAAATCTTCTTCTCAAAAACAGGAAAGCCATGATGAGTTATATTTGTGTGGAAGCATCCTCAAGTGGTGTAGATTCAAGTCTGTTCAAATCATGACCCCGGGGGATAGGGCGGGTCCACAATGGAGGATCAAAGTTTTACATAGAAATATATAGGAAAAATCTTCAAAAATCTTCTTCTCAGGTACAGCAAAGCCCTGATTGATCATATTTATGTGGAAGTATCCTCAGGTAGTTTAGATTTAAAATTGTTCAAATCATGACCCCCTGGGGTAGGGCAGGGCCACAATGGAGGATCAATGTCTGAAATAGAAATATATAGGAAGGTATCTTCTGATGAAGAACTGCAAAGCCATGATTAGTCATTTTGATATGGAAGCATCTTCAGGTAGTATAGATTCAAGCTTGACCCCCGGGGATAGGGATGGGCCACAATAGGGGATCAAATTTTTTTTTACATAGGAACATATTGGAAAATATCTTCTTCTCAAGAAATGAAAATCATGTTTAGTCATTTTGATATGGAAGCATCCTCAGGTAATGTAAATTCAATTTTATTTTCAAATGATAACCCCCAGGGGTAGTTTGGGGCCCAATGGGGATTTTTACATAAGAACACATAGAAAAAATATTTTTTCTCAAGAACAGAAAAGCTATGTATAGTCATATTGATATGGAAGCATCCTCGGGTAGTGTAAATTCAAGTTTGTTCAAATGATGACCTCTGGGATAGGGAGGAGCCACAATGGGGGATCAAAATTTTACAAAGGAATATATGGGAATTTTTTTTTTTTAAATCTTCTCAAGTACAACAAAGCCATTTTGTTAAATTGACATGCAAGCATCATCAGGTAGTTTAAAATTCAACCCCCCCCCCCAACCCCCAGTAATCTTTTCAATACTGAACTGATTTGTGTCTAGCTAATGTGCTCAGGTGAGCGATGTGGCCCATGGGCTTCTTGTTTTAAAGTTACGTTGTTCTTGCATGTTTGAATGAAAAATTGTAAGAAGATAAGATTCGTTTGTATACATGCAAAATATTAAAAGGTTTCTTTCCACACAGATAGTCGGAGCGGAAACAAGGAAGGGATGTCCCACAAGTCGCCAAACCATACAAACCACATCATTCTGTCCACAGAATGAACATGAATGGGATGTAGCTGCAGAAAAAATGGGATGTGCTGATATAGAACAGGATTGCACAAAGAAAGATAACTTTTTGTACCATTGCATTCTCCGTGAATTTGTTTACATCGAAGTCTGTGCCCCCAAAACAAAAATCATAGGTAAAAGGAAAGATAATCATTCTGAATTTATGGGTTTTGGAAAAAGTGTCTTGATGGGAATCTTTGAGCAAGATTTTATCAGAATCCAATATTTTCTTGAGGAGCAAAAATAAAACTCAAGTTTAAAGAATTCTTTCTTATACTTAAGTAACAGGTAAAATATTTTCTATTCGTCACTTATGTATTCTGCAATATTTTAGGAGGATACTGTCCAACGTTTGATCCTGTAGGCGAAATGGTGGTAGAGAATTTTAAATCTGACTGCAAAAATCACTCTAATCCATGTCCAGATGTATTTGAATCATCAGAAGCTTACAGGCGTATGATTAAAATTAACATTTTCATATTTGAGAGTGAGATTTTTTCTTTCAGAGAAATTAATTGCTGAACACTTTAAGTACTAAAATTTTGTCTCTGTCAGATATGATCTTAACAGGTATTTCTTTTCATTTAGATCAGGAGTGCTATAAGAAAAAGAAAATCCATACCGATACTGAATCAGGAAATAAGTAAGTTTCAAAGACTAATACAAAAGTAGTGGTGATTGAAGATGATTTTTTTTTTTTACAAATACATCAACACGGGTCTGTTTTTACAGGGGAAAATTGAACTGAAATTCCTTGTTCAGAAATCACAGAAAAAAGCAAGCATTGTCCAGGAAAAGAAAAAAAATGCACTCCTATCTAAAAAGCTAGTTGACAAAGGCGTTTTGTCATCTGAATGGTCTCATATATACGCAATCTATATATTATAAATGTCTATGCAGAGTAGTTTTGTTTTGATTGAACTTTTTTTGGTATGTTTTTCGCTGTCTTGAAAGTTTGAAGATAGAGCGCACGAACTGCTTTTGAAACAATGAAATGTTAACAAACTTTAACGGCTGTCGTCTTTAGTGTCTGTAATCATAGTAATGTGCATGGAGAGATATGAAGATAGAAATTGCACGTACTATGTCTTTGAATTCCCGAAATAGCGACGTCGGATTACCGATCGAACTTGTCTAATCATTAAATTACAGATGTGTTGATATGTTAAAACTGTGCTACAGAAAAAAAATCAACAAAGATTAATCTAGATTTTTCCAGTTCATTGATTTGCATACAGCATAAACGTTTTTTTTTCAACAGATGTACAATACCAGTTATCTGATGAATTTACGATATCCTTATTCATATATATAATATAATATACTGTACGTGGGCAAAAATTGGCATATTCAAAATTTAGCGCAATCACTGGGTTTGGAGGAGTTCGCGTAATTAGCGCTACACATGCACTTGTATTGTATATATAACTGATTTCTTAGCGGTAGTCATAAATTAGAGCATCGTTGACTGAGCCAAAGCCGCTAAAGTATGAAGCCCGCTTTTTTAAGTACACATACAGTAATACTATTTTAATGTCGGGTTTTTGGCCTTGCAGCATGTATGTGCGAAGTAATGATAACGATCGTAAAATATTGTATATAGTTTTGATATGATCGTGATCTATATTAGAATATCATCGTACATATTTTGCAGTGTATTCATGTAAAGAAAAAATAACATGTGTCAAAGAAGTTATTATAAAAATACAAATCCCTGTCCATGTCACTATGAAACAAGGTAACGTCAGACTGAGCCACACTGCTTATGTATACAAAAATTTTTATACCCCTTAACATTCATAAAGAGGTAAAGCGCCCTTTCCCAGTATTGTTTATATGGAAAGTGCCTATATGCACTACAAAAAGATTTACTTGGCGCATTGGATATGTACGTATATTGGATTAAGGAAATCAACTTTATGAAAGTGTAACGTGTTCTCTTCTGATGTATGGATCCCTCAGTTACTAAACTGAGACCGAGACTCAAAAAAAATACAAACTTAAAATATCAAATAGATCGCCTGCCAAAATATACAGATACTGTGAACGTATGTACAAAAATAATCGCCTGCAAAATATACAAATAAGGCGAAACGAGTTCCTCTCGTGTAAAATAAAAATGATTACCCTTAATTACTTAACTAACTAATCACTAATAAAATCACTTTCAAAAATATTAACTAAGATTTACAAACATATACACAAAATTATATGAATTAAAATGTTACTTAACAGATGAGTAAAACCTGTCTTCCAGGACGTTATGAAATGAGTTCTCAACTAATGAGTACTCAGCTACTCAGCACTTTTATTTATAAACACTAATTAAAATACACTATGTCCACCGAGGACTAGTCGAACTGTCCCCGCGAGAGTAAGGATACTTGATCCATGTTCTCTTATGGGAAACTGTCGGCTTACCTATGAACCTCTGCACACAGCTTTCCTCTTCTCATGTCAAACTAACACTGAATGTGCTGACGCTAGCGGTATGGCGTTTATATACCCTCAAAGCGGAAGTCAACGTAACTTGTCAACTAAGGGCGCCAAATTCAAACTTAGTAATATAATTTACATTACACTACCCCTTCCAAAGAGGAATGCGTCCCGCATTTCTAAATTCTAATAATATCTATTAAGCTACTTAACTACACTCTTAACATCAATTCTAACTCAAAAACAAATTTTGGTATTTATCTCAAAATATCTCAATTATGTTTAAAGTTTTTATCACATATCAATGTACAATAATATACAATACTACTCAAAGGAAATCTCTCTACACCAGTGAGTAAATCAAATGAGAAAAAATGTACAATAAAATGACTAGTTATCTCAGAAACAAAGTATTATATATACCCTTAAGTGACAAATTACTGTTTCTATTACAGTTTAATCACAACATCCTCCTCTACTACACGACTAACTTTAATTGAACCATCATCTGTTTTAGTTGTAACAGTCTTTTCAACTCTGCTGTACTTAGTTGGTACTGTCTGTACTTCAATGTCCTTCATTGTCTTATTTTTACTGTTCACAGACTGTTCGTGAGAAAGTGCAGAAATAGTTGGTACAACCGCATCAACTTGAGGTTCAGGTATTGAGCTTCTTCTCACGTCGGAACCAAGCGTTGTCTTTGTACCTCCAGTTGAGAACTTGGATTTCTTTGCAGGAATGAATATTTCGGGCATAGTTCTTTTTCTCACGACCCTTCCAAGGATTAGCAAATCCTGCATCTCCTGTTCTTTCTCAATCACTGGATCTCTACGAGCTGAAGACTCATCAGGTTCTTCATCGTAGTTAACCAAACTATTATCAGGTACAACGTTGCTAATGTTCTGTTCTTCTACATCACTGTTATTAGGACTTGAATCACTCGAGATCTGTAATTCATCACGAAGACTAGCCATAGCTGCTACACTCTTCTCATTTTGCTCAGTTTTCTCACTTGGATGCTTACACTTCTTGTGTCTGTTCAAGTTCGCTTTTCTCAGTGAAACATAGGGACACTTATCACACTTAAACTGTTTTTCTTGCTGTTTCTTTCCACACTCTAGAACATGGTTAAGCAGAGCTTCACGACTTGATGTGGAAAATGTACACATCGAACAATTTTCAGGTTGTTTTCTGGGGGTTGTTTTGGTATTAACCATGATGGAATTCTGCAAAGAGAAAAACTATTGGCTTTAAATGCTCTAGTACCATTTAGTGTCATAATCAGCCAACCACGTTGGTAATTGCTTTGTACGTTTTGGTCTGACATTATGCTCAAATTGAGATGAGTTATCTGACTCATTTTGTGCATTACTATCTGACTCGTTTTGTACAGTATCTGAATAAACTTCTGGTAAATTCTCTCTTTCGCCCGAGATCAATTGAGATCGTACAGGTCTCATACGATCTACATGAATTACTTGAGATATTTCTCTTGGTCCGCAATCTACTTTGTAATTTATATCGGAACATTTGGTCAGTACTTTGAATGGGCCATGCCAATAGCTGGTTACTTTTGGCGATAGACGACTTTTATGTCTAGGGAAGTACACATAAACAAGGTCACCGACTCTGTAATCTTCCCAGTTGAGTTTTCTATCGTGATAACGTTTCTGTCTGAGCATTTCAGCATTTGTGTGTTCTCGAACAACTTTATGCGCCTCTTCTAAACGATCTTTGAGTTCCCAAGCCCATCTTGATTGTGGTATTTTATCAATATGAGATGGCTTTTGGTACATGATATCAAGAGGAGTTGCTGTCTCTCTCCCTAGCATCAGGAAATTCGGGGAATATCCTGTTGTCTCATGTTCTGATGAGCGATACGCCATCATCACGTATGGAAGCTGCTCATCCCAGTCTGTATGTCTCTCATTCACATATGCACTCAGCATGTTTAACAACGTTCGGTTGAACCGCTCAACCATGCCATCAGACTGAGGATGATACGGTGTTGTGTGAGTTTTCTCAATCTGTAGTAAGTTACACATCTCGTGAAATAACAAACTCTCGAATTGCCGACCCTGATCAAAATGGATTGAGTATGGCACGCCAAATCTTGCTATGAATTCTTCGACAATGATCTTTGCAACAGTGCGAGCTTCCATATTGGGCATTGGATAACTCTCGGTCCATTTCGTGTAGTAATCTGATACAACGAGTATATATCTATTACCATTTGTTGTCTCTGGCAACTCTCCTAAAATTCAGTGGCTATTCTCTCCATTGGTCGACCTGTTTCAACTAACTGCATTGGAGCACGTTTAGTTCTGTTTGGTCCTTTTCTTTTGCTGCATTGCTCACATCCAGCTATGTATAACCTTGTGTCTCGTTGTAAGCCGGGCCAATAGTAAGACTGATGTATTTTACTAATGGTTTTTCTCACACCTAGATGTGCCGAGGTACGATTATCGTGACAAAACGTGAGAACCGTTCGTCGCAAACTCATCGGAATAATAGCTTGGAGTTTTGTAGTTTTCAGCTCAAAGTCTTCCCACTTCCTGAATAGGATGTTGTCTTTGCAGACTAATCTGTCGTACTGTGTGAGTAATGACTTCACAAATAGACTCTCACCAGCTATGTCTTTTTGCTTAGGTCTCACACCTTTAGTCAACCACGGCTTAACCATAACAATATCAGAATCTACATCTTGCAGTGTTCGCAGCTCAGAGCTTGACAAATTCTGTTCCTTGTCCTCCGCTTCTGTCGCTGTCATCACAACTACCTTATCTTCTTCCATTTCTCGATATCCACACTGATGACATGGTATGCGACTCATTGCGTCTGCATTCTGGTGAAGCTTTCCATGTCTGTGCTCAATGTCCATGTCATATGCTGATAAGACATCGATCCATCGAGCCAACTGGCCTTCTGGATTTTTAAACCGCATCAGCCATTTCAGTGAGCTGTGATCGGTCCTAATTGTAAACTTTCTTCCAAGCAGATACTGTCTAAAATACTTTACAAAGTAAACAACTGCAAGTAACTCTTTGCGAGTGACACAGTATTTTCTTTCTGGTTTAGACAATGTT